AGACTGCATAACGGAATAAGCTCTTCGGATTGGAGACGAATTTATCCATAAGCTTTATCTGGTACTGAAGCTTGTCTTCTCTTACAGCCTTCATGCACATGTTCCTTATATGTTTGTATTGCCTGTACGCCCCATTGTTGTCAGTTCGTTCATATTCTCCCCAACAGTGCCTTTTGCGGCTTGATGATTGTAGGTTGATTGTAGTTTCTGGGGACCGTTTCAGGAACTGACTGCCTTGTAGAACATGAGAACATGTGCAGTAAGAAGTCCCAATGAGCATCCACAATGAGTTGAGGGTGAACATTCCAATCCACCTGTTGCAGATAGCCCTGTAGAGTTGACACATTTAACCGTTTGAAATTCCAGCGCATGTTGTTAGTGGAATAGCTTAGCTCAGTTTTGTTGACAAAAGTGAAGGCTATGACGGCGTGATCGCTTTTCCACAGGTGAGCCGGTATTGAGAGGTTGTCAACTAGAAATTCTTCGTTTGTAAATACACAGTTTAAGCGCGACGATGTCTGACTGTTTCTCGAACGAGTTGCCGACTTTACATTTTCGTATAATCCCAAGTCCTCAATGAGGTTGAAGAACCAAGCTTAAGTTCAGTTTTCACCTAGGGAGATTGAAGTCCCTTAGAATCAGGATATGAGCGAAACCGAGACGCGTAGAGCGGGATATTCCTTCCAGCATACGCCTGTCATACTCGATGTGGGCTTCCTATATATGACTCCGACTAGGAACCTCGAAGTAATAGACAATCTAACAGAGCACCATATGGATTCCTCAAGATTGTTAAACTTGGTATACCTCCAAGCAAGATCGTATGTATACGGCTACTCCAACCCTACTTCCTGTTTTTCTGTCGTTGCGAAACAAAGGCATCCCAGGTATTGCTAGCGCCTGGTCCGAGAACTGAGAAGGTATCCGAGAGAAAATGGAGTCTCACTCGAAGGACGTTTTTGAGTCCCTTAAAGTAACGTCCATGTTGGGTAAGTTACTGACGTTGTCATGGTCAAGGACAAATTAAGCGGGTTGACTGATTTCACTATGCAGCTCCGGTTTTGTGGCAGTATCCAAGCAATTTACTTCTTTGAATTGTTGTACATCAAAGCGCGTTAGATCATAGATGAAAATTAAAATCTCGGAAAGCACTTCGTAGACGATGGCAGTTACTCATGACCGTCTTACTGATAGTTTTAGTGGTGACATTCTGCAATGTCTGATAGAAATTGGATTCACCAACCCGAGTTAGATCATCGAAAATTTTCTGTTGTTGAGTGTATTCTGTCATCAGAATAATATATCTATGCTGATTACTCACGATTCATGAATGAAGATTTGACACTATAACTCAATCCCGTTTTCTTATGAGTTGGATAGTCCTTTATGCATATATCAATCGACCATGCTTCACGAAGACACCATAAAAAATGGACGTCGAATGTATAAGATTCGAGTTATCTATTTTGTCTATGCTTCGAGCTTTTGATTTTTTCGTTGCTTTTATAGTGATAGGACGTCTAAAAGTGGAGAGAGCAGAACCCCCGATTGATAAGACATGGCTCGGCCATGCCGATTTCGCCACTATATGTGACCTATTCATTCACACATTCTATTCGTAGCTCAGATGTATTACTCAGATGCGCTGAACATTATACAAATGATTGTCATGATGGGACGATTAAGTGTAGACAATGATGTGACTTCTGCGTAGAGTCTTATGGACAAGGTGATTACATCATGGAAAATCTAAAATTTTCTGATGGGGTCAAATATTGTAGTAGCAAAAATTTATAGATTAATCAAATTCTAAGGATGTGTTCAGACATCAAACCCAGGGTTACTAGAAGAGCCTAGGAAAGCGATTCAAGCATTTAGTCATGATATTTATCAGTTATTAATAATGTATTTATTTAACTCTGAAGAATATTTCTTTAGTCACAATAAACAGCACTAGATCAATCTCGTACGTAACAATTAAGCAAAGGCCAAGTGTAAGAAGCAATTTCCTACATGTTTAATTCCGAGCTACTCCCTAGACCGTCGAATAAAGAGTCTTGGTTTGGCCAAAGTCAGAACAAGCAAGCTATTCGGCTAGATGAACTATATCTGTTTCTAAAACATAAATTAACATTGTTAGTGTACAAACAAACAGTACGGTCTATTAATACAGGGAAAACAGACAAATAACATACTGAACAGTAGCCAGAGAATAGGAAAAATGGGTCAACAAAGCAAATATTGTTTTACAATGAACATTAAACTGTGATTGGTTAATAAAGAGATGCAGTCACACAAGGTCAAATGGAGTTAATGCAGTGGTGGGCGTTTCACTTTATTATTGGCGGATTCGTCCATCGACCACATTTTACACCAAGTCTGTGCATTTGAGTCTGAGTTGCAACGAAGTGATCTATCATGATGATCTACACTAGACCTGAAGTAGTGAGACATGGTGCTGGTCAATGTTTCGCTTACAACGCCGTTGCAGTAATAATCACAAATTCTCGAGTTCAGGTAGCTAATATACGATATACTTTGGAATATAATAATTTTTTCAGAAACGTGGCTTTCTAATGGTACAAACAACGTTAACTCCGACTTAACGATGTCCAGCTGTTCCGTAACAACAAACCAGACAATGTAATAGGAATGGTAATGCGCACATATATCATTTTATTTCAAAAATAATAGGCAAATGCTTAATAAGAGTCTCATAAAGTGCACACGAAGTTACATCGGTCCAAAATAATTTTCATTAGTTGAGATTATGAGTCAATTGAAGCTAGATCACTATGGAAAAGCTGGAAGCACTGGACGACGGTTTTGTACTGTTTTGGGACTCCTCAACAGTGCGCATCCATGACTTCACCTCGTGTGATTTGAGACAGGACTTATCAGTCTCGAGCGTCACTAAAATTTCCACAAAACCCCTTCTAATACCAAAATAATATACACAATCCAGGATAGAAGCCAATAATGCTGTTTTCCCCCAAATATTGTCGGACCACTTTGGCTTGAAAAATCTTTCACAACACTTTAATCTACCCATTTCTTATTCACTTACGTATTGTAACCTAATAGTTACTCATCAAAGTGAGCCGAGATATATGTGAGGTGAAACGTTAGGATCACACACCCGTAAGCGCTTATTTCTGCATAGAAAAGATAAGTCGAGAAAGGTTTGTTTGTTACGTAAGATAATTTTTTATTTGATCATTTTAAAGCAAATTTTAGCTCGTCGGAACCCTTACAAATAAAATGACATATACTTCAGAAGTTTCCGCCAATCTCGGTCCTAAATAATTACTACAAAGGTTTTCATTAGTTCTAATGACATGTTACCCTAAGTTCTGTAAGGAAACGCCGAAACGGCACAAATTACTTGCTTCAGGTTGTCAAGGGAAGCTGACGCACAATTGGAAACTTAGAAATGAATATCTCCTCGACATTTGCACTGTGGATCCACTTTTGATAATGGCCTTCCAGAGGCTCCTACCATAAAATATCGATTCATTTTTTTGATTTAAAGACAAGTGAACGCGAACAAAATTCAACTAGTAGTGCATAATAGCTGTAATGGAGAGCAAGCGTGTTGAAACATTAAGCACTTTGAGTCTAACTTTAGGTAGACGATAGATTTAGGAAGGTTTTAGAGCCCTACGACTTCTATAACTTTGAAATTGTCAAGCTCCAAAGTCCTTAGATCACTATAAAGAACTTTTGGATAGCTATAATTGACTAGACAGAAATAAATCTTGGACCACACAGAATCTAATCATGTGCATGCAATATAAAGCGGGTTTCAGTGGATTCCCAAGAATGATTTTCATGGAACCCCTTAGGGCAGTATTGTGTATAAAGGTTTTGGTTTTCGTGTATTGAGTTGTTTTTATATCAAGGTAATTATTTAGTTCCTTATTGTTTACAGAGGTTGACATTCAAGGTACAGTACTTCCGATAGCTCTCATTGCTTTCCTTCTGAATCGAGTACTGCTTCATTCGTGACCGCTAGAATAAGCACCGAAGAGATGTTTAGCCAGTCAAAGGAAGACCAGTCACCGTATACAGGCTTCATACTTAAGATGTTTAAAGATCAGACGAATGAATAGTTTCATTAAGTGACTTTTTCAGATTCAGATTTGCGTGGTAAGGACAGAAGGCCCACAGCCTATGTTATTCCTTTTCTAGTATGCTTCTATGAGTGTCCAGTCTTCTCTTGAAAGAGTCAATTAAAGGTGCGGACACCACTGCTTCAGGCAGCAGGTTCCAAATATTGATGACTTGGTGTGAAAACCTGTATGCCACGGGTATTTTGTTTGTTCTTGGCTTTTCTACTCGCCCGCTATGTCCTCTGAGGTGTCCTGATCTGGTGGGAAGAAAGAGAGAGAATAAGTTAGATCCAAAATCATTTATCAGTATTCTGTACATCAAAATTAGATCTCCTCTTAGTCTGCGATCGAACAGAGTAAAGAGGTTCAGCCTTTCAAGCCGCTCTTTATATGATAAACCCCGGAGTTCCGGAATCGCACGCGTAGCTGCCCTCTGTACTTTTTCTAGTATGTCTGAGCCACCTTTTAAACAGGGGCTTGCAGTCTGAACGCAGTTCTCTAACTTAGTTCTCACTAAGGATGTGTTTACCGTGGTGAACATGGTAGTATCTCACTTAGTGAATGTCCTTTTTAAAGCCAAGAGGATTCGAAACTACTTAAGTGCGACCTCCCGGCAATGACCCGTGGTCTTAAGATCATTACTCACTGTCACCCCTAGATCCTTATGAGACCGGACTACGGGTAATGACACATCCCCTATGATTACAAAATAGAAGACATAACTATAATACTGGAACACTTTACTAAATTAAATGCATCTCGCTAACGTTTTAACTTTTCGCTACAAAATAACGGTTAATATATACTACTTCTTTGGTTAACTAATATGAGCAATTGGATATGTAACATAGTTTGTTCATATTCACTAAGTTGTGGCTCTTCAAAACTGTTTTGTGTTTCTGAGGGTTATGCATACATCCGGACAGCAAAGGTATTGGCCTTAAGTATGCATTTCACTTTGTCCCGGTAGTTATTTTTAGACTGAATAATAAGTGGTTGTGCAATGCAGTCCACCTTCTTGACAATTCATTACTTTTACAGTCAATATTATCAGTGCTTTTCATGTTAAAGTTTCTTGATAAGGATTACATACTTCACACTTTTAACATTGAAGCAACTTTCATGATTTTAAGAAGTCATATTTGACACAAAGAAACTAATAGCATTGTTTAGTATGGACTAGAATCAAGTTAATCCATATTATTGAGTTTTTCAATTGATAGATTTGGTGTCCATCATTATGATAACATCGTCAAAACATTTTTCAAAAGCATACTCTTTTCGCTACCAAGATGAAACAGTTTGTTCAATATAAGGTGAGATCGAAGTCTCTCCTAATGTTCACTCTGAAAAATGAGGATTTATCTTGGTCTTGAAAGTGCTGTCAACAAACCTGTTAATTGAATGGTATTTTAGAAGTCATTTAAATTTTACTTAGTAATGTAGACGCAAAACAGAGAAATAAGTGGAAAACTCTTCATTTCTCTGTTCTACTTTGCTTTGTCACTCAAGGTATAGAATGGCTGTATTGACTCAGGGATTCGCATATAAATATCACTTATCAAGGAATAGGATTCGCTAGGTTGATTATTTTCTTCATATTTTACATTAAATTAAAAGTGGACATGAAATATATACTATTTGCTGCAGGTTTTTTCCAGAAGGTTGGGCAAAGAGAGTAAATATACATGGAAAAACAAATGATATTGTTACTTCGTCCAACCCTAGCAAAGTAAATGGTGTTTCTGAAATTTTCAATGAATACAATAACTCAAAACGATGTACTCAGGCAGTTGATCGAATAATTGAAAGTATTCAACAAAGGCGAAGAATAACCCAGGTAACGCTTTTGTGCACTTCTGGAATAAATCTTACACTTTTAGTCATGACGTATGTCTGCTGAAACGTGGGCTTTTCTCATTCACTTAATAGACGCATATGAATTTAAAATAATATAACTATGTAGGATTAATTCCAATAAGTCTGGAACTTCAATAAGACGCAATCAAGAACTCAAATTTTAATGACGCAGTATGCGATTGTATTGTATCATTATGATAGGTTTACACACGACATAAAATATTTAACTGTGCATTAAATGTATTGGTTATTCATCACAATACATTAGTAAACTTTATAGTGTAATTATATTTAGGGTTCATTTCAAATGAAGTCATTATAAGAATTGATACTTATTAAAAAATATTGTGTAAACTATAAATTCCTATTGAATTGAAGAATCTTCATCTAGTACTCCCATTTTATGGATTCTATATTACATTTGCTTGGTAACAACCTTTGAGATGTAAAATTATCCATATGTGCCTCATATGCCAATTTTCACGTAAAATGACTAAATAGCACCTAACAATATCGAATAAATCAGTTTTGTAGCTTGAAATAATCTAGTGGAGCCTTTGTGGTTCGTTTGTTTGGAAGCTACTGCTCCTTGGAACTAGAGAGTTTTTGAGTAAACTATTTGATTAGGCAATTGTTTAAGCCCGAAAATGCTTTGAAACCTTTTTTATTAGCCTCATTTCATTTTGACAAAAAAGTGGAAGTGGATATAAACTGAATTATTTTACAAGCGCGAAGCTATAGGATATATTCCTGATGAAGCTCCGGATGTTTATTCCTGTATTCTCATGTCTCGATCACTAATTTAAATCCAGTATGCATACTATGTGCGTGTGTCAATGAATAACAATCTTCCTCCTGTTTATATCGAATTTTACTGGAAGATTTAGCACCGTACTATGAATTTCAGTGTGTAAAAATACGTTTCATAAATCTTTTTAAATAAAGAGGACTGGAAATAATCAAGACAAACCGACCACATACAACCACGCTCAACCAACGTTTTCGAATTCTCAATCTTGTCATCATAGATTACCAAGGTTAGTGTCCGATAAATAATGTTTTTTGTTACTGATTAAAGGTTAAACTGGTGGTTTGATCTATTTATTAACTTAAAAATTTGTTTACTATTTTATGCGTTATTCTTGCGACGTTTAAAATGGTTTATTGAAAACTTACTACTCATGGCTTACAAGTAGTTATCTCAATAGGATAAAAATTACTAAATTCAAAGTGTTTTTCGATCTACCTATATTAAAATTATGATATACTAGCCAGTGATTTCCGTCAGCTTTACTTAGCATCGTTTAAGTTTAGATATTAATATGAAAAAGTATTTTTGTCTTTCTCTATCCAGTGAATTTGTTCAACGGTCACGTGTTCAACAAATAATCGATGATTTTCTTCACAAAGCCAGAAAACGGTAGGTAAACAGCCCTCATGTTTAAATCATTACCATTCGTCTTAAATTTTACAAACATATCGTTTCAATACCATGGTAAAAATTCAAGAATAGTATCACAATGACTTCATGTCATTTAAAGATGGGTTACTATCAACAATTGATACAATATTTTCGGAGACAAGTTAAAATGGGGTAATATTATATAGTCTAGACGAAAGTAGTTTAAAAAGTCGTGTTTTTATAGTTTCTTAGTGAATATCAGTTGTATTTATAAATCCATCATCTAATAAAATAGGTATTTATAACCCAAATAAATTGTTAATTATATTGTTTCTAGGCTGCCGATTTTTTCATCACTTTACCTTCTACATCAAAAGATAAGAACACACTTATATGAAATTCTAGTTAAAACTTAATGTTTGGTGTATTAATTGATTTGTCACACTATGAAGTAATAAAGTAGAGAGCAAAAGAATAAAAGTTGTGAAAATCTCCACACGAAATCATTCTATAATTAGTCTGTAGACTAATTTGGGTAGTTCACGTTGGGAACACTTGATTTCATGATTAATTAGAGTTTCAATATAAACCTCATTTTTAATACTTGGTTATTATAACGTGAAAACTCCATTTTTAATTTCTCATCCAAATGCTGGTTTAAAATCAGTGCATCACGTTATTCGGAGGCTGTTCATTACTAACCACGCTAAGTTTCCGGCAAATTGTAGCACCCAAATTCGATATAGTAAAACAACTGACTGGGAAAAAATACAATGGATATGATATCTGCAGCTAGTTGTCCCACGTGAGTCGTGAATATCAATGAGATTCTCCGTAAATATGAAAACGGTTTCCCCGAGTCTTGTATTTATTGAAAAACTTTGGAAGTATGGCATGGTACAAAGCTTTTTCTCCTTAAAATTAGGCTTTTCATTGTTTTTTACCTATGAATTATACTGAAACAAATAAGACATCTTAAAACTCATTATAAATTAGTTCTCTTTAATGATGTATCTAGTCTCATTGGATTGCTTTAAAACCCTAATTCTAGTCACCTTAGATGATGTGGATAAATGAGTGAATGAGCAAAATAAAGTAAGAGATGTAACGTACCATTATCAGCCCAGAAAGAAGATTGTTATGCGATCGACTATTAGAAATAAATTAAAGATATGTAGATTATAGCAGAAAATCTCTTAGACAGCTTTGTTGAAACTGTACACTATTCACTGTTCTGCAATTATAGACATACCTGTAATCAGAAGCTATACAATAGAGTATCTAACACACACAGTGAGATAAACAAGTTGTAAGGACCGATTTATTCTAAACATATATTCATGAACACGTTGATAATTCACAGTTGATTGGATTCTTCTTTTCTGAAGAACAATTCACTTAATTGTAAATAATTTTTTTCCAATTTCATGCATACATGCATGTGCTTATCGACTGTTCTTTTTGCGTTATAAGAAGTGTCAAGGAAATTTGACGAGGTATTGTATTTTGACAACTCCATATTGTACTAAACAAATAATACAGAATAAATTAGATACTATTTACATGTTTTTTTACTTTACTTTGAGTGTTTACCTTCATAACAATAGGTAATCATCCTGTTAACAGCAGACTAGTTAGTCTTAACTCTATAAAGAATGAAAAGCTTCATGTTCTTATTGGAGGAGTCAATCATTCGGAGGCTTGAGAATAATTAAACTAATCATCAACCGATGGGATCGGCTGGACGGAATATTTCTTTTTGAGCAAAAGTATTTACCAACCGTTTCATTTTATAAACACTAGTCGATATGTGGTCAGATTTTTTATTTAATGTCGTTTGCACATAACTTGACAGATTATGTGAACTTGGTTCTAAAAGTACTATTCTGGTCGCTCGATTCGTTATTATCCTGTACGAGGCCAGACAGGGATTTGCTTTATAGATGAACGATACTAAACAAATTTACTTATTGAACGTTTGAGGGCAGAAACTAATGCCTTTGATGAATTATTCAACGATCTAAGTATCGTATGTCACATAAAATTTGTCAACTTTATACAAGATCTGCAAAGCAAAATATGCAAGAATTTCCACGTAACTTTGCCAAAAACTCTGTCAAAGGAACACTTGTGTTTTGGCTTTCCGGAAAACCCCGAAAAGTTTCTCTATAATCTATCAACAATGAAGTTAAATCAGATAGAAACAGAAGCCTTGTCATTTGGATTTAAATTTCATATCCCCAAAACACATGCCGACAGAATCGACACAGAAACTCAATTTGAGAATTTATTTGATCAAATTAAAGAGCTGCACTCAGTTAGTGAAGAAAAGAAAGGCTGGTTTAAATCTAAACTAGTCGATATTGCAAACCAGTATCTCGTTTCACCCGCACCACAGTCTAAGCTTTTATCCAAAGATCACCAAACAGCATTACGAAATATTAAACGAAATGATGATATAATGATATTACGGTCAGACAAAGGCTCAAGTGTTGCTCTAATGAACAGAACAGATTATGTCTCTAAGATGAAGTCCATCTTGAATGACCATATGAGATTCAAGTTAGAAAAAAGTAACAAAGACTTAACTGATTCCATTGAGAAAAGAATCACCAAAGTACTCAGAGATCTTCTGAAAAAGATGATCGATAATTCTACTTACAATAATCTACGACCTCGTGGGTCTCGTTTGCCCCACATGTATGGATTACCGAAAATACATAAACAAGGTTATCCTCTTAGACCTATTTTGTCAATGATCAATTCACCATACCACAAAGTTGCACGATGGTTGGCAGATAAGTTAGAACCAGTGCGTCAACGATTAGCCACCTATACACTAAAGGATTCATTTGTATTTGCTGACAGCATGAATCACATAAATATTGCTGGTAAGTTTATGGTTTCTTTTGATGTAACATCATTGTTTACAAAAATACCACTTCTTGAAACCATAGACATAATTTGTCAACATTCTGACATCCTACCTCTACCAGTACCAGAATTCAAACGACTATTACTCATTTGTACAAAAGATGTTCAGTTCCAGTTCAACGATATCATATACAAACAAACCGATGGTGTAGCGATGGGAAGTCCGTTAGGTCCTGTCCTAGCAGATATTTTCATGGTTAACCTCGAAAGAACCAAACTCAAACGAGCGATTGATGAAATGGCGTATTATTCGAGGTATGTTGATGATACCTTCATCGTATGTAATAATCAACAACATGCAATAAATCTGCTACAGTTTTTCAACGAAGCACATCCGAATATCCATTTCACTATGGAACATGAAAAAGAAAACAAGTTCCATTTTATCGATATTGTGATGAAAAGAAGAAAGGATGGTACAGTTCAACTTTCAGTTTATAAGAAAGACGCATGGAATGGTACTTATCTCAATTTCAACAGCTTTTGTCCAATCAGTTACAAAAAGGCACTGGTCAAAACACTGTTTCACAGAACAGAAAGAATATGTACTTCCGATACACTAGAAGAGGAAGTTATGAATGTTAAAAAATGTATAAAGAATAACGGATACCCACTGAAATTTATTAAGAAATATGGCAAACGTGAAGATAAAAAACCGAAAGAAATTACAGCAAATAAAAAGTCTATTTTTATTCAACTTGACACAATCAAAGGTCGACAGGTATCCCTTTCATGTTACCACCAACTGTGTATACAAATTTACATGTATCTGCCAAAGCAGTTACATTGGTAGAACAGAAAGGAGAGCCTACGTCCGATTCAAAGAAGATATTCCGAAAAGTTTAAGATTAAATGGATTGAATGCATTCAACAGTGCCATCGCAAGACATCTCCTTGATACAGGACATGAAGTTGATATACTGAAGTCCTTCAAGGTGATTAACAAGCAATCAAACGCCGACTTTTTGAAATTTGCTGAAGCAATAGCAATCAAAAGTTTAAAACCAGATCTATGTATACAAAAAGAGACAGCAATAAATTTTTCTTTACCCTGGTAACAATAACCCCTTTAATTCATTTATTTCTCTATTTATTTATTGCGTCATTATTCCAACTCTTTTAAATTACATCATACATAAATGATTGATTTCCATTCATAATTTCTTTATTACCATTAATCTATTTTCATGATTATTTTTTTCTTACCGAGCAAAATGTAAGGAATTTTTCAATTCATTTCGACGCTGGGCTAATCAGTGTGATTTATAATAGCGGTAGATAACTTTTAAGAAAATGAAAATGTTATCTTCAATGTTTCCTTTTAGGAACATAGGTCAATTACAACTAATATCTAAAAGTAATTCCAAGTTTATTATCTTCCACACATTGGCAGTTTTTCGTAATGGATTTAGAATAATACGATAACCGAACGACCAATTAGTAGATGAAACCAGCCGATTAAATATAACAAAACATTCCATCACTTGATAAAAGTAATGATAGTCATTAAGTTTGTATTCGTAAACAGTTAACATAGCGAATCTATCCTCATACCAATAAATTCTACTCATTTGCACGGTTAAATGAAACTTTTACTATGTTTTTTAATTGTTTTAGAGGACTAGGTGGCCGAACGTCTAAAGAAAGAAACAACCCTCCAGAGGAAATCCAGTGTCATTCAGTTAGTTGTCAATCATATAAGCCTAGAGAGGGGAAAGAAATCAGTCTTAGTGTTAAGGAATATTTGCCTCCAGCAGAGCATAAAAATCTTCTACTTGATGCCAATTGCAGTAATTTTGATACTGAATTTCATCATACATGTTCTTCAGGGATTTATGTGAGTTTAATGAGTTCAGTGCTTCTACCAGTTTCAAATTGGTAATAGTCTAATGTACATCAAAAATAATTTCCCCCGCAATATCATTCGATATATAACACAAATTTTTAAGAATAATGAAGTAATATACTCCCAAACAATATATATTTCAAACAACTTTTCTGTAATTTTATAATCCTTATAACCATTTATTTATAGTTTCTACACTTTATTAGGACGCAAATGAACAGAAATTTTGATTTCTAAAATGACGTCAAAACGAGTTCATTAAAATAAACAATCACAGAACACAACAACAAAAAACGAACTGACTAAAAACTTATGCAAGATAGACATTTTGAATCAACCCACTTTAAAGATAATTTAGTTAACCCGTCTTAAAAGTAATTATGAATTATTCACTTTGAGTAATTTTAAAATCCTGTTTTGTACAGTTTGATTTGTTCAAAAACCTATGAGTTTTATCATCAAAGTAGTTAAAAGTTCGTCAAAAGTAATAATTAAGACCTTGATCAGTAAATGTATTCCGCTGATTTCGAATATAACGCTCACTAATGATAAAAAGTACTTATCATAAACTGTCTACAAAATGCTGTGCTATATTCTTTTTAATTATTAGAGTTAATAAAGTTTAAGAGATATTTGCGTCATTTCACACCTTATGCTCAGTAGTAAAAGTACAAAACTAATGATATAATGACTATTAAGTCAAATACGTGTGTGATTTACACTTTCCTTCAGCTTCATTATTTGCTTTAATATAAATTCAATTCTCTTTTTCATTTGACATTATGAATCATGTTTACACTGGGCATCTTCTGCAGCACTTAGACAAAATCTTATAGAAAGATACCTAGCAATAAATCTAAATTTATAAAATGAACATCTTTTAATGACTTGGATATGGCGGCGGCATAAAATAAGTGATATTGACAAAACTGTAAGATAAAACATTCCAATTTCATGGCAATTTAAAAAGATGAAACAAATTACAACTGAGTATATTGATAATCTATGCATAAATTTTCAAGTGGATTTTTCATGTTAATTGATCGGTAATAAAAGCCTAGTACAACTTATTGAAGTTCTGTGAGAATAAACATTGCTAATTACAACGCATGGTAGTCATGCAATATTGTGAATTGACTGACTTTGGAAATGTAAACTAACTTGTAAGCAAAATGAATGAAATTTCATATGTCCAAATAAATGTTTATGCTTATTTTCCTTGTACACTCATTTGTAGATTAGTGTCGAAAGTATTGATCATTCTTGACCGACTAACTCATAATCACTAGAGAAAGTAGCACGTTAAGACAGATCATTTAAAAATACTTATTTAATTATTTTTTGTATCATATATTTAAACTTCCTCTCTTTTTAGTCACCAGGTTTTAGTATTCGATCGGACTCACCAGATTTATTTGATCTACGAAGAAATAAAGTCAATTCAGAAAATGATATAAAACAACCAGTGAATATAATTGATAAAGAAACAAGTTTTGGATTGTTTGATCATCATCATGAAATCCTTTTTTCGAAGTCAGATTACGACGAAATAATTCAGCCTTCTGACTCCTATTTTTCCCAGTACTCCCGAAAAATGCAACAATCTCCTAGAATGGTAGAATTCCCATTATTTCCAAATAATAACTCAACCAATAATTTCTCAGTTATCAACAACAGAAGTGCCCATGCCGTAAGCTCTGGTTTAGAAATCATTTTCCTTAACACAACATGAGCAACGAATGTTTATTTTGTTTCTTAACTTGAACTAAATACAAAAACACCACACAGTCCTATAACTGTAAGATAGATGTGCTGCATACATTTTGTGCTGTATAAAGATCTTAAATATATTTAATAATGTTAATGTTCCCAAGTGAAGTTTTTATTCAACATAAGTCAAATATGCATAATTTCATGAATTTGATTAAAGCAAGTATTAAAAGTGTAGCACAATAAGATTAATTCATTTATTTCTCGGTTCATCTTCAGCTGCTTACAACCTAAAAACAATAGCAATGATCAATTATAACCAATATACATATTTTATATAAATAAGGAAGATTAGTAGAACGATGGCAAGTGTCTGAAAAAATTATAAAGCAGTAGAATGGATGAATAGTTATGTGTTACTAAATGTGATGATTGTTTAAGAAAAAAAATCAAAACATATGTTTCTATGTGTTTGAAAAACGTTTTCCTTTTGCCTAAATTATCGGTGGTAGTAGACGTATGGAATTTTATGAATTTTAAAAGCATGCCATATGCGCTAATTTTAGAATGCAGGGAACTTCCATTTATTTTTCAAATACAACCTGTCATGCGCTAATGGTCATTTAACAGACAATTATACTTTATTTTTAAGCTTTATCTTACAAAATACTTAGAAGTTAAAAATTTCAGAGGATATTACCCTATATTTTGTTTTTCATTCTATTAGTTTTACTGTAATCACAGTACATGATCGCTTTTGACACTTCAAACGTCAGTGAAGAACCACACGAATTTTACCATCATGCCAATGAGTTTCAATATAATTAACATGGGGCATTTGTACTAAAAAGCACCTCTAACGATCATGGTTGTCCTAGTTAATGAGTACAGAGGTTCTAATCTGCAGGGCATATGGGTGCTGTTTTACTAAGCACTTTAGCTTTGGACTAAACCATGTAGGTAGGCTCAAATCACTTGATCGGGTTCCACGTTATTATCGTGTAGTGCTATGCAAGCGCACATAGCTTATTCTAGCTTCCGGACTGGCCAATCCATCCATTCTTCTTGAGTCACATTTTCGACCTCGTTAATTATTCGCTTATCAATCTTGACTGCTTTCATGTAAGCGTATGTCTGTGCATTTCCTATCTTACTCATCACATGTCTTTAAATTATTATCTGACTGTAAATATCGATTCACGCTTGGTTAAATTGAGTTGGCTCACTCGCCTTCTCTGTTGAGCGTTATTTCGTTCAAAATTCATCATCGTATTTGACTTATCTGATTCCGTTATTCACCAACTCGCGTTAAGTCGACAATTATATAAGAGGATTAGTGACACACATATGTTTCGATAACAACCAGAAACGATATACCTGGAGTCAGATCTCGGGTCACTGAAATCGTAGGGAATTTTTAGAGACCTTGAGTGACACTGCCTAAAATCATTCACAATTGTGCAGTTGCATTCACCATTTTTCCTAATTTCTAAGTTCCCTAATTGCCTAAAACATTTTTTAATTCACTAATTTATATTTTTTTCCAGAATCCTATCTATGATGCCCAAACTTTTCTATTACCACTCATTTTATTACTACTTATACTAACCTGGGACTGGCTCGAACAATTTCATTTCGTTGTGCTGATAGGGTATGGTAGCTGGAACTAACATATGTATGTGCCAGGTTCTACGTTGCTCATGACTGATTGACCAATGCAAACAAATGACCTTTCTTTAACATATTATTGTTAAATCTAGTGTATTTTCATGGCAGAATAAAATGTGTGGAGATAATATGATTTTTATCTCAATCTTGAACTACTAAAACCTTTTTGCAGGATTTATTTCTCTCTTTCTGAAGGATAGATCAACAAGCGCCTCTACTTTTCAGAGATTTACATTCTCCTAGGTATCTTTATGAGCATTATTGTTCAAGTTTATGCGAAATTAAAAACTCTAGTGGGGTTAGAAGTAAATGCACATGAATCTTTGCAAACGGCATTAAAAACCAACTTTTTGAGACTTATGACTTGCCATTACAAGAGCTTGGAAGATTCATCAGAAACCCTGTCATGAATCTATGTAAAAAGATTCGAAAATCTCAATTATAGTCTAATCATCAAGAAAACCATATCAAAGAGTTCTCATCACTTTTTAAAAAGTACTTCAGTACTCATGCTAAAAGCATTTTGGAAAAAAGGCACTGGAGCAGGCTTTTTTTAAATGACTGAGGTTCGATTTCAGAGATTATAGTTTAAGGCTTTCGTATACAAAATTTAAAAATGACATATTTAAGATCGGGCAGCTGTTACTCACTCTCTCTTCACGCTCATGTTTATTATAAAACTGTTTTAGTTGTTGAGAATACATATCTCATTGGTAACTCTCAATATGTCTAAGCTCAGAATTTGACGTAATTACATGCAATTCTTTTCTTGTGCCTTATTATCAGCCAACTCACTATAAACTGAGCTTTTGGACCTTTCGGTGTCATACATGAATGTGTGTTTATGTTTTATTACGATTAATTCTTTGACTGCTCAACAGGAATTTCTTTTTTTTATTGTCCTAACCTCAATTATTCTTAAATATACGGTAATATATGAGATACTTCGCATGTATTGTCTTTCAGATGGAAAGCAAAATTATACCTACAAATGTATATCATAATAGACCGCGTATTTTATCCCAAAATCAATTTAATCAATATGAAGAGAAAGCACTTAGATCTTATGATATTGGATTGTGTAAAAACTGTCAAATGCTGTACAGTAAACAGACAAATACAAACCTTCAAATTGATAATATTTTAAATTTTAGTCCAAATGTTTTTCAAAACACTCAGAAATCTAATTCTACCAACAAGTCTTCAAAAGATAATTGGAAGTTTAACTTCGCTAGTCAACCATATGTAAATAATTTAAATTTTTATCCAATAGAAACGAACAGAGATGAATTTCAGGATTTTTTAGATGACTGTAAATCCAGGTACGTTCAACTTAATAATGAAATACTTTTATGTAAAGATTAAAATATCTAAAAATAAGACGTCAGTGAACGTTAATTATATTTACAAAATATTATGGATATTTGAAATTTCTACCAACAATTAAATTTACTTATTTTAAAAATTGTTTCTGAATTTGAACATTTAGGGGAAAATTAAACGTTAAGAGTTTCTTCTGTTCTTATATTTATCCCTTAGATACCCTTCACATATTATTTTTTACAACATATAAACATCATTAAAGTAATAGTATTCACATTGTGAAACTGATTTACTATCTGGTATTATTTTAGATATGCTTCTGTTAAACACTGTATGAATGTAAATAAGATATATTATTTCCATTTATATGTGGTAGTTAAAAGTGGAATACGATCGGTCACTGAGTGTAGAGAAACAGTAACTTAGCCTACTGACTATTAAATATGTGACTTCCTTTCCTCTCATTGGTTTCTACTGCGAAGTCACTGAGTTTGACTGCTTGTAATTGTGCTGAATAAGTTATTATTTAGTGTTAATCTGGTTCTCTATTCTGGGCAGGGAATCCTGGATCTTATATGACGTGACTAATCCCATTATCGTATCGACGTATTATCAAAGTGTACCTGAGAGAAAGATATTTTAAACCGTCTGTTATACCAATATGTATTTGCTCTGAAAATTTATAAACAATGTCTTATTTCGTAGAAACGAAAGTTTAATCAAACAATAACTTAAATTTGGTGAATGTGTTAATTGAGTCCTTTTCATCTTTGTGATGTGAATTTTTATTATTGTTTCTTTTTATCTAATGTTGACTGTTGAAGTTGTAAGACTAATGCCCACAAACACATTATTGATTATCTACTTGTTTCAGACAATAGCTCTGTTGGAAGTAACCCATGAAAACGTGTAGTTGTATTACAAGATTATAAATTTTACTCAGTTAATTATGTAGTATGAAAATCAGTAATTTTTATTTTACTATTACAATTATGAATTATTCAACTCGTTTTACACCAAGTTATTGAATTAAAATCTTGTTGTTTCTACTTATCTAGACATTGTATGACAACAGGCTTTGATCAATTCAATGGACACAATAATTGTTGTATGAATAATTATTTCGAAAATTTAGAGAGTGATCAAGTTTTTCAACATAATTTTCATAAATTGACAAGTAAATTTAAAAAAGCTCATGCTCATACGCTCAAACATCATGAGTCTTCACCAGAGTTTAAATTAGTGTTTCCTTTCAAAGTAATCAATACTGAATGTAATAAGTTAAATGAAACTTATATATGTAATCAAGATAATCAAAACCAGGATATTGTCAAACATTTCCCAAACGAACGAAAGAATGACTTTATTTACAATAAAAACGTCAACGCTCTTAAGCACGTAGATTATTCAAAGAGTGATCTAAATTTGGAACAAGAAGAAAAGATTCATTCATTAGGTTTATCCTATTTACCTGATAAAATAAACAATCTAAAATCTGCTAAGACATCAACAGTATCAACTCAAACATATTCAACAGTTGAAGGATGTGAAGATACATTTTGTATCCCATATAGAAAACAAAATTCTAACATGGAAAAGACATATTGCACAAAATGTCTAAATGGTTCAAAGGTAAGCGTTACTATCTGGTACATTTAATTATTAACGGCATATATATTATATTATATCTTGTAAATTAATTCAATGACCTAACTTAGATTATCTAGAAATTACCAAATAAGTCACTGTGAACAGCGGTGAATACAGATTGATATTCGTTATGTTTGCCATTTTCAAGAATTAGATAAAAATGAATGAATATGATTGTTTAAAGAAACATTCAGCTGATAAAATGTGTTGACCAATAATATTACTTCAAAAGGTTTTACTTTTTATTATTATTATTATTACAAATCCTGTCAACAAACTTTAATTCAGAATTGTTTTTATATTTAATAACTAGTCATTCGCTTTCACTATACAAAAACGAATAGATTCGACTTTGTGAATTTATGTTTATATGGACGATTGTCTGAAATGGTATAACATGATTGAGTGATGATTCTACAAGCGAACTGAAAAAATGACACGAAGGTTCTTCCTAAAATGAATTGGCATCAATTAAAACACAAGTAAGACGTAAAATAGGTTTAATTCTATTCAATAAATAACTTGAGTATAAAGGTAAAAGTTAATATAATAATAAATGTAATGAAGAGTAACTCAAAACATAAGCTATTAGTGAGTACGAATATTAATGGATCATCCACAGAATATTTAAATGAAGACTTAAAAATCATGTTTAACGGCCCTCCAGTAAATTAAAGTGCTTCAAAGATAAAGTTGAACGTACTACTATGGTCTTTAAATACATACTGGTATTAAGGATACATTAGATACAAATGATCACCTTTATGGAGTAGACGACTAAAAAATAATAATTTGGTACTTGTTAAATAGCAGACAATATTTTATTAAAGCAATTATTCCCTTTTTAAAATTTCGATAGAGCAATGAGAAGATAGAGTTGATCTGAAAAATGTGATGTATTTACGCTATACACTCCGAACAATCTAGGCATACATATACTAGTCAGGACATTTTATGTGAACATTAAATGTCCCCTTCATTACCTTGCTTACTTAGACTTTCATTTAATTGACCTTCATTAGTCTTTATATAAAATGCCCTGACAAAGATGTGTGAACAGATTGTTCGAAATGTATAACGTAAATACATCACATTTTTTAGATCAACTCCATCTTCTTATTCCTCTATCGAAATGGTTTATTAAAGAATATCCTAATAATAATCTATCCCAGTCGCGTTTCAAGCTGGGACACAAATAATCGTTTGTGAAACACTTACTTTTAGTTCAAATGTGTTGACATTGCAGTTGACCACATTCTGTTGTGTTTGTTAGTGATTAGCAATACAAATCGGTAATGTAATTCTTCCCATATATGACTCGATAGCTAGATGTAACTCTACTAGACTGATACGAATGTTTAACGAAGTGTATCTCTCATGTGCCTCAAGAGCACCGTTCATCTAGATTTTTTCAAACAATTTAGGGCATATGTTGATCATTATTTTAGGACAATTTTTAAGATATCTCCTTATTCGTCGATCAAATAATTGTTTGCTAACCGTTTTCCTACTTTTTGTTTCGTTTCGGTTTTATCAGTTTAAACATGAGACTCCACCAACAGAGGAAATAAACACTCATGATGAGTCGATTATTACGAGTGACTTCATCACTAAACAACTGCCGATACTATCATCTACGAAAAACCACATTTACAAACCACTAGCTACATCGACACCCTCTGGTGGAGGGGCGGCTGATGACAATAAAAAAGTTGATGAGAATAAATCTAAAATGAAAACTAAACAATTAACAGATGCTTATTACAGTTTTCAGATACCTAGAAAAATTACAAGAGATATATCTTCTGACACCATTATGAACAATACGGATGAAAGTGAATCATTAATAATTTTAAATTTATTAAAATCAGCAGGTAGAAGTATCTCATTTGAAAATATTGATTATATTAATAATGAAGAATAAGAAATTGTAAAGTTCAGAAGACGAAATATTATTCATGGTCGCCTTTGTTGATTGTTGTACTGATTTGGTTACATAATTCGGTAATTTAAATAAACAGGATTGATGCTAATTAATGTTTTCTTTGCAAAATACTCATTACCAAATGTTTAGAGGAGATTCCATGGGAAGACTTGATTACTGATACATATTGAAAAAATGTCTACAAAGGTGAACAGATGAATATTGTGACATATTGTCAAGAGGAATAATGATTGGAGCTAGTGGTGACTAGTATGCACTAAAATGGCCCTAAGAAGGGAAGAATAGCGAATGCTAATCTCCAAATTCTCGTTAGTTGCACAACTGTTCACTTTTGTGACATTCGGATCTACATCTCATCCACAAATCATTGATTTCATGTATTTTAGAATCCATAACAACACATTAACTTATGTAAAGAAGTCATCCGGTATTTTAGTCGATCCAGTCAAGAACTAATTCTTTGTATTGTAGAAGGCCCAACACAAGAAAAACCATGGTTCCATTCGCTTTTAATTATTGAGATAATTTTAATAATAGGATGATAACATTTCGGCATTGCCGAAGGATTTTCGCAGCTCTTTTCAGTTAGTGACGCAGGAAATTTTAACTAGATACCCGTCCTATAAGAATTAGGACAGGAATCGAGGACAAGCATGTGCTTAGACAATTAAAAAGCTGCTCAGCTTTTGTAAATAATGGTGAATCTTCAGTAATAGCGATAAACACGAGTGTTCCTTCTGTAATCCGATTTTTCGCATGGCCTTTGTCATCTCTTGATTGGCTGCTACTACAGTTAGTTAATTAATTTTCTGTATGCCTGAAGGTCATGCCTTCGTTACTATGTGCAATGAGTTGTAATATTCCAAGTAAATTTAGATGGATATCGAGTTTTTCGCACACTTGCTTTAGCGGTTAATTTTTGAACTGTGTGTCAGGAACAGAACTGTTAATACCATAATCGTTTAATCAATCCTTCATTCACAAGTATTGGAAGCCAACTGGAAGCTTCAATTGACGTAATAGTTTTTATCAGGACCTAACATTATGTCAGTGTCAAATCCCGGTAGACAACGAAAATTACATTTATATGTTGCACTCAGTTCCGGAAACATGATCAAAAGCTTTGAGAAATAAATGATTTTCACATTTTAAATCATGAACTGATCTTAGACAACTATTGTAAACCTAGAAGGCCGTTTCATCGTGCTATGCGACTCCCTAGTAGCATATTAAACTGTAAAACTTTTTACACTCACCCCAAATCCACTATACTAAATAATTGTCAATCCAAGAAGAGTATTACATTTAATGCTATCTACATGTCAGTAGAATAAATGCTTCACAGAAACAAACGAAAAATGCGTCCATGAAATTCTTTGAGGAAAGATATTTTAGGAAATGTTTGAATAAGTTTATTCTTGAAAATAAACATCTGTGAATTATTTAAAAATAGAAACTACATACAATAATTCTTAAAAGAAAATATCAAACAACTGCCAGCTGGTAGTTAGTTGTGAGTTAATTACAAAAGATTTCACATATGTAATAGAGAAAATGAGTGAACACACAGAGCCTCTTAGTTTTAATTACTGTGAATTCGACACAAACCTGAGAAAAAGTAAAGTCAAACTGATAAAAAAATTGGTTGACACGATCCGTTCTTCTTATACCATTACTATTTATTATCTGCAAACATAATGGGAATATAATACGAAAGTAGTACAAATATTATATGGAAGAAAACGAAATGTTTGGCTGTTAAGAAATCTGAAAAGCTTTAGTGATCACAGCATTAGTAGTACGGTACACGACTGATATTAGAAAAATTTCATTGAAAACAATGAACATCAGAAAATGAAAGAATACTTTCCATCGTCTTCACAATCATTTTTCTGGGTATTTCATGCTAAGTGATTTTGATGATGGAAAATTCATAGGACTGACTTGATGAACAGTACTGGCAGGTGTTGTTAAATCGTTGAGAAATTTGGCCACTTCTTCGTTTTCCATGGAATGAGGATTTTGTATATAACGATAGATCATATCTTGTGAGAATCCTCTCTGTTCTAGATAAATAACTAGGCGAGCCAATTGTTGTGCCTAGAGTAAACAAGAAGTATAAAGACATAATTATTTTATGCAGGTACGATGTAGCAATTTAAAAATACTTTTGAAATTAATTGGAGATGAATATACTAAGGCTATGAGCCTGGTCCATAATTAAACGATGCAATCATTACAAGAACAGCTCTCGATCAAACCATGTGAAGTAGGTAAAAATATATGAAACACATACATGACAGAATCTAAGTTTTAATTAGAAAGCCGTCAGGTTTTAAACCTGCACTTCCGACAAATGTTTTTTAAACATATAGTACGAATAAGAAACAACATATGAGATTATCCTCTAAACAAAAATAACTTATTTTCCAAGTCTGTACAGTCAAAATAAATATGAAGACGACATGTTAATGGTTAAAAATAACTACTCAGGATCAAGGTTGAAGAACAAACCATCAGCCATAGATGGAGAAATTCGAGTACTTTACATCTGTCTGATGTTTGTCCTGATTATATTGTGTAGAAAAACAGTGAACGCTTTAAAAATAAACCATTCAGCTTACAGAACGAAGCTCTACCAATATTTTATTCCTTGTAATTTCAAGCTGATAATCATCACTTTCTGTCTTGAAATCAATACATAGAAAACCCTGGATATGTATTTCACACTTATCAGTAAAGCACATCTGCGATCGTGAGGGAAGTGATAATGTCTCAGAAATCCAAACCTTAATGCTGTATTGCAATGAAAGAGGTTACAACTGAGCCATTGCGGTTGCTTCCTCAAGAGATTCTAGGTAGGAATATGAGTATAATGAGGGACAGTTAATCCAAATTATTGAGCAATTAGAAAAAATCACAAATGAGTAATGATGGTTACATCTGTGTAATATCAAGATCGGAACCCATAAGGATAATAAATAGTCGACCGTTACCTTTGGGGCAGCCAAGAAAACCTGAATCATGTAATGACGGAATTCTATATTATATCACTTAACTGCTGTCGAATTTCATTTTACACACTGAGTCCTTGAAAAATGTTATGTAATAAAAAAGTTGTTCAATCAATATATCTTTCAAAACTAAGATTTTATCTACTGACTTTATATGATAATTGTTAGTGGATTTAATGGGTATAGTTAAAAATGTCACCATCACGTGCTATTGAAACGGTAAATTTTATGACAAAGATAAATCACGCTGTCATCATGAGACGAATCAATTATAGGAGCAAGAATTGATGGTTTACGTTAAATACGTTCGCCATAAAAGCTGAGGTCTTTTGAACCTATTACAACAAATTAAAATATTCCCGGAAGGACATGTACCAGACTAAAACAATTGTCTAGTAAAAATTAAAATATCTAGCCTTACGATATGAAACTGTTACCTTGAATCACAGGGTAACTTGATTTTATTGAAGTTAAAAAAGACATATTTATTCACACTTCTCGGTTAATTTGAATCGGAGTGATAGAAAGGTGGGATATAACCTTTTTTTCTTTTGTGATAATACTACTCAAAAAAGCAATCGGGATTAGATCCCAGTTACAAAGTTAAACAAATCTTCCTAATTTCGAGAAAGCTGCAAACTAGGAATCCAGACATGAATCTCGTCAAAGAAAAAATAAGTCCCATAAGAAAACAATGAAACCTATCTATAAAATCCCATAACATTCAAGAGCAACTACTATCTTGAGTTATATCTATCATTACAGCTGATGTTTAACACTCTATCAAGTAATATTTTTTATTTCACCAATTACATCACTTCCTACGACAATATTGAGTGAAAATTTGAACCAATTATATACTCTGTGAAAAGTGCTTTGAATATTCTGAAACTGTTACTCAATTCATTTAATATAATGTGCACTAGTAAGATTAAACTGACAAAAATGCTAATATCCCAGATTAAACCTTCTATTCTCTTGGTACTTCCGTAAATTTAGCGAAATGATTCCTTCCACGATATTAGTTAATAATATAAGTTCTAATAATGTTACATTTTTGGTCTTATAAACTTGTAATTGACTTTATCGGTGAGGTTAAGTTGATGAAAACGAAAACTCAGACTGCTACAACTAAACAGTAAACAAGCACATTTGCTTTTCTTTTTCACATTCACACCAAACAAAAACGATATAAGTATGAAGGACTTGTGAAGATTGTAGTATTTTCATAGTTGAAAAGTCTAACACTAGGACGAAACAGCCGTTTAGTGCTTTTAGATTTTCAGTGGTGGTCTAGCTCAGATCAACCCGTGATTTCAGCTGCGAAAAAAACGATATAAACTTGAAAAATATCATTTATTGCACTGTCAGATAATGAGCGATTGACATTTACATGGTCGATATGACTTGCAACTTTGTTTTCCTCTCAAAACCACAATTACAATTCAAATAGTTTAACTAGATTTTTATTTTCCTAAACTCCATAACTTTAATAATTTCTTTGTAATGAAGCAACTTTCTTGACAACTAAATAGGCGAACTTTCCTAAGAATATTTTATGAAAAATCTACAGCACATCAATCTTATTCACTTTAAGATACTAAACATCTGTAGTACTATGTTTGCTCCGTCTGTGTTTTCACTATTCAAAACATATTTGGAAGCCCTTAGATGCCAAAGCTTAAGATTAAATTTACAGAATCATAACTCATTATAGGAACAATCGTAGTTTGAACAGAACATATCTTGTTGGGGCGACGTTCGGTTCAATTCAACTTATAGTTAAGTTCAATAACCTTGAGATGGCTCTGGAATACAAATTTCTCAACTCTCAGTGTTTCGTTAGAATTGTGCGCACAGATGATATCCAGTCATCTTTAACAATCATCTGATGAGCAAGATGTTCAAGAAATCGAACACCTTCGATACTTTCAGTAGCATGAAGGGTCGAAAATCGTTCATAGGTAGCTAAGTTCGCATATTTATTGGCCGGACAGTGTGAAACTACATTTTTCTTAATTTAGGAACAAATCAAATGTTACGGAAACGTTTAAACTATATTTTAATTTCGCGTTTCAAACAACTCACTGGTCTATGATACATTTTAATTTTCCACAATTTATGAACCCAATAATTTTTTGTTACAGTTTTAAATAGTTCTCACCTTGAGTAGATTATTAGGATGTGTAACTGTAATCAAAAGAGCTGATTGTTCACTAAGCTTCTGAGAATTTTGATTAGTTGAGAAAGTTGTCAATAGTGAGTTGAAGGTATGAAGAAGATTTAACAAGATCAATTTGTTCTGCTCAAGATTTTGACATGTAAAGGCTAAAATGAAAAAAGAAACAATGTGTATTTATCCACATTAAGTTGACAAAAGAGAACTTCCGAAATGATAAGAAACAAAATTCACAAAATACAATCCTTAACCGTAGTTACTGATATGATGTGACAACATGGATTGATACATACATAAGATAGGTTTTATAGTACTCAAGATTGATTCACAAGTTTAAACTAATTAGCGCCCCATATAGTACAATGTAAAGTGTTTAAAGTTTAAAAAAAAAAAGATGAAATCAATGGAACAACTTTTAAGTAGATGACATTTTTCTGATTTCTTTAAAAAGTTAGTAATAAATATATTAGTTGTCATATCCCAATGAGTAGAAAAATAGTATTTCTAATGTTTCATGACTTAATGTAAGTCACTTCTTCAGAGTAAATAAATAACTGACTTAAATTAACAAGGTTAAATAATACAAAGGAAACAATAGAGAATATTTTTAATACATTCAAATAGGTCTGGAAATATTAATGTCAATTTATTCTTGGTCAAGGTGAACTTGTATGATCTGTCAGTGTATTAATTTGTGCGTCACGTGGGTACGAAAACTGTTAAGTTTTTTGGTTAAAGATATTAAAAATATGATGCTCTGGGAAGTTTTGAAGCCTGTTGAAGACTATCATCAGCAGTATAAAATTAATTTGAATTTGTCCAGTTATATTTCAACGGATCGGTATAATTCAGACCTGTTTAATACAAGTTTATCGATATTTTTACTTATAGTGGTTCAGTGAAGGTGTAATTACATACCACTCCCATATAAATATAAAAATTCGATAGACATAATTTAAACACGACGTTATATCCAATTGACAAAAATCTATGGATACAACAATATTCTTATAAGAATTATTATTGAAGCACTAAAGCAAAACAAACAAACTGAGCCTAAAAGACCCATAAATGAACTGATATGAAAATTCATTGGTTAAATTAGACTCATCCAAACTCAGTAAAATAGCAATACACTAAAATAATTTGACAAAATAAGCATTATCAGAACCTAAAGACATTATAACTAATTGTAATGTAATGATATTCGAAAGTCGCTAATGGCTTAATGAATTTAGCTCTTCGAGTATCGAAAAGATTTATTTTAGCCGAATGCCTACTAAAATGTTTGAAAGTGACTTTAAAGCGTTCAGTGGTCGTCTGACTTAAGTATGATTAAACGGTATCGACGCTGACGAAATGCATATCCTATTTACTAAGTCTAGATTCTGTTGATAAATCACTTTGACACAACGTAGATAACAAAAGTAGAACACGAATTGTATTCATGTTAACGTATATTTTGGACATGCTAATATTGAACGGCAAACATCCACTGAAAGATCCAGCGAACGTAGAGATTTGGAGCTCAGTAATAGACCGGCCATGCGAATAATAAGGTAATTTCATTTTTATAAGCACAAAAGAAATTCAAGAAGCAAATAAAATCATAAATACTATGATGAGCACATAAATTAAAAAATAATCAACATTACATGTAAATGAAGAGCTCAAATATATGTAACATGATAATCGGAATAATTAGAATAAGTTCTCCGTCCAAAATTTAGGACTAACCACTTGCGCATGTAGTAATGTGCGTGGCTACAGACTTGTCAGATTTGTGCAAGCTTACCTGACTACCATGTCTGCTTGGAAAAGAAACTATGCTAAGACAGATCTAAGGTGGTAACTTTTAGAGTTCAACACAAACAACAGGCTGGTTACTTTTATGAAGCATCGTTTTGAAATCTTAGGAATGACATCTGCCTCCATTTAGGAAGCAACGATTGTGATAGCACTATTTAAAACCAATAAACACTATCTCATCGAATTGAAATTAGTCAAAAAAACCTGGAACAACAACCCAGTTACTATTGGTGTTACACATTAAGGTGGATTTCACACTTTTTATGAAGAAAGTAAAAGGTTACAGCAGAATCGCCACTGGCTTCTATTCTGAGCCATATCTGATAACGTCTCTAGCCACTGTGTAGCACCATCTCTCAGACCCCAACCAGGGAGTCGTGAAGGACCGACTGAAGCCAGCCTTTTGCAGCTTTCTTTCATACCACGACACCATGTCATGCACTGACCACCTCTCCGCTTCTTCCAACCAGTCCCAGAGTCGGCAAATAATGCACGACGTGGAATTCTCTGGGACGACATTCATAGAACATGTCCAAGCCCCCGAAGTCGGTGTTTCAAGATGGTGACACCAATTGCATTATCATCTCTGTGCCCGAACACACGATGCCGAACCTCTGCATTACTGACATGGTGTTGCCACTGAATGTCAGCAATCCTTCGGAGACAGCGATGATCGAACACAGAGAGTCGTCTAACGTCCTCAACTCGGAGAGACCAGGTTTCACAAGCATAGAGCAGAACTGCTCTCACCGACGCGTTGTAGATCCGACCTTTTACAACCAGACTAACATCACGAAGGCGCCAAAGGTGGCCCAGATTGGCATAAGCCGCTCTGGCTTTCACTATTCGTGCATCGATCTCATCACTCACAGCCCCACCAGCACTTATGATGCTACCCAGATACACGAACTTCTCGACTACTTCTATCTGTTCACCGTCCAGGGTGAGTACAGGATTGGAATCCTGCCAGTCTTGTAGAAGTACTTTGCACTTCGAAGGTGCAAAGCACATACCACACCTACGGACACTGATTGCCAACTGATTAACTGCGGATTGCATGCCTTGGGCATTATCGCACAGTAAGACAATATCGTCCGCATACTCAAGGTCGAGAAGTCTTTCTTCAGGCAACAGATCCACACCACCATTACTCACATTCATCAAAGCTGTTTCCAGAATGTCATCGATGGCAAAGATGAAGAGGAATGGTGAGATTGGGCAACCCTGCCTAACCCCACTGCTCGAATGGAACAATGGAGAGAAGTGGTTGTATGCCCTCACTCTGCCTGGGGTGTTTTTATATAGGGCCTTTAGAATGTTAATAAACTTCTCAGGCACACCCTTCTTCAATAGACAATCCCAGAGAACAGTCCTGTCCAACGAATCGAAGGCAGCCCTGATGTCAAGAAACACTACGATTGCTGGCCTTTGATAAGTATGGCGGTGTTCTAACATTTGACGGAGGGTGAAGATATGATCAATACATCCTCTACCAGAACGAAACCCAGCCTGCTCCTCGCGAGTCAATCTTTCTCGGGTTTTGAACAACCTACGAAGAATGACGGAAGCCAATAGCTTGGACGCAATCAAAAGTAGACTTATCCCCCGATAGTTGTTACAGGAACGACGTGAACCCTTTTTAAAGACAGGGACAACTATCGACTAATTCCATGACGTTGGTACACTCTCTAGTTCCCAAACCTTTGTAAACAACGTCGTCAATTCCTTAGTCAAAAAGTCACCACCATCTTTAAAAAGAGCCGGAGGTAAGTCATCTGGGTCAGGTGATTTGTAACGCTTCAAGAGTTGGAGTTCCTTGCGGACTTCCTCCTCATTTGGTGGATCAGTCGTCACCGGCCATGGAGGGCAGGACATTCTGACCGATGTTTTCGGAACAGCAGGCCAGTTGAACTGCCCTTCGAAAAATTCTGCCCACCGTCCAAGACGTCGATGGATGTTAGTGATTGGCATCCCATCATCCTCGCAGATTGTTTCACTCACACCAGACTTCTTGCTGCCAGTGGCTCGGATGAGCTGGAAGAGCTTCCGGTAGTTACCAGATGCAGCTGCTGCTTCCAGCTCATTAGCACGTTTCGACCACCAGGCTTCTCGGTCCTTACGCAAGCTTTGCCCAATTTCATTACGTAACATCCTTCGTTTATGGTCAAACTCACGGTCACCCGGAGTAGACCGACGGGCTTCAATGAGTTGTAGGGAACCAGAAGAAACCCAGTGCTTAAAAGCGGGACATTTCGCAAACCCACAACTGACTGTTCCCGCCATTTCCATGGCGTCATGCAATTGCAACCAATGCTCATCTATACTTTTCGGTGGAGTGGTAGCTAGCCTAGAGGCTAGCTCGGTTCGATACTTACTTGCAACAGAAGTTGCAACCAGCTTGCTAACATCGATCTTTTGGTGGTGGTCACTCCGTTGGCCACTGAAAAGTAAGGCAAGATTGGCGCAGACCAAGGCATGGTCAGAGTCCAGATAGGTACTCCAAAAGGAGCGGCAGTCTTGTACACAACTACGCCAGCGGTAGCTGATCGCGATGTGATCAATCTGAGTCCAGGCTTGAGATGCAGAGGGAGGACGCCAGGTGGCACATCGGCGACGACTGTGCCGAAAGTTAGTGCTAGCCAGAAACAAGTTGTGGTCTGTGCAAAGTTGCAGTAGACGGTCCCCGTTATCTGACCTGCGACCAACGAGTCCCCATCGGCCACCTAAACGACTCTCTTCTGTGCCTAGACGCCCGACCTGAGCATTCAAGTCTCCGGCTAGTACTACAATATCTGTCGAACGCACTTTCTGGAGAAGAACAGATAACTGGTGGTAAAACCCATCCTTGATTGCATCCGGGCTGCAATCTGTCGGGGCATAGGCGGAGATGACGAAAAGACACCGTTTCTCACGCCGATTTCTTCTCACTTTGATGGAACTTTCTAATCTAACAGCACATAACCGACTGTTAATGGGGATCCAATCGACTAGTGCTGCCTCAGCTCTAGCGCTTAGTGCGACACTAACGCCAGCAAGACTATGCGAAGATGCCACAGGGTCCCCGGATAAGCGCACTTAAAACAAGCTTTTTGAAGCGACAGATGGAGATCGAATTTGTAGTATGGAATGATGCAGACGGGTTGTCAAATAATAACAAATCGCTGGTGAGCTAAACAGCACATATCATGAGAATTTACTGAAACGTGACATATGTGCACTGTCAAAGTAAATCAATACACTACTCATGAAGATTAACTAGTTAAGGGGAAGGCAAATTGATAGTGAAACCCCTATCGACCAAATTACAGCTCTTAGAACAGTACAAAATAGACATTCACATCAGAATTACAAATATTACCGATTAATTCAATTTGAAATGGTCTGGACTATCCGGATGTTTATATTTTCGACTGATATTTGATCAGTCCTGATTGGTATATGGGCGTCCTGTGCGGGTTGCCTCGATGTAATCATTATGATACAAGCCGATATAGAATAGATGGAATGTAGCTAGTAGTGAGATCCAGGACGCGCGTCTCGCTCTGTTTGGGACTTATCAGCTAGATGTACCTAGATGACAGAGTTGATGACCGTCCCGGGACTCGAACCCAGTACCGTTTGCTTTAAATACCGTTGCGTTATTCACTTGGCTACTGAGTCCAGAGAGCCACTCAGTCGTGCAACGAGTATGCTATTTACCTCAATTTGAAGTGATTTGGATCATCCCATCGAGATACACGTAAACCAGGTCAACGAGTTCTAAATACGATGGAACGCGCTTCTTGGATTCCACTGCTAGCCACATTCCATTTATTCTATATCAATATTAGCTATTGTAGTTGAAAAGAGAACTAAGTCAAGTAAAATTTGAAATAATAAACCATTCAACTGACATTATAGAAAAATTTATATACACTTATTACACTCACTTAAGCACCAAAAACACTAATGTTTACAGGATATGAAGTGAACCTCATTAATTTTACTTTAAGTGAGTAGATGCTAAATAAAAAAATACCAAATCTTAACACAATAGATAAACATACAAGCTACTATGTGTATGTGGAAAATATGTGTATGATAATTATTCAGTGAATTATAATACTTTGGTCACATACACATTAAATCTAGCTAGAGATAAAATAAGATAAATCAAATCAGTTATATATTCTTTTTTTTTAAAAAACTGACATCATGAATTACCTCTTTTCTGTAGTCCTAATTCTAAGAGACGACGAGTATGAGAATGAGAAAAACCACAATTTGTTGCCCACGATAACAAACTTTCTAAAAGCTTTATTTGAGAATGATGTGGATCAGGTGTTCTTATACCAATAGTGGAGATTTTAAACATGTCTTGACATTTTTCAGTATTTATAAGACCGTTTTGTTCAGCGATACTACCGAAGGCTTGAGGTTGATTGGTGAAGGCAATCGACTAAAATTAATCATCGAAAAACAACACTTGTTTATATATATATATATATATATATATATATATATATATATATATATCAAAGGAATTGTACATAGTACTTAAAAGTTATTTACAAGAATATATGGGATATTTAATTTTCTTGAAATTACGTGTAAATCGTGACCCAAAAATAAACTATATGTCAATTATATCTCTGTTTTATTAAACTAGTATGTACAGTTGGAGGTGACTGATTAATTATTATAAGATATCATTCCAGAAATATGCTTGATATTCATTCGAAAGAATAAATAAAAATAGAAAAAAAAATACATTTACGTAGTAGACCAATATTATTTGGTCTGGCCTAAAATTATGCTTATTCATAAAACATGTTGGCAACATATTTGCTCACCAATTATCTATGAGGAAAAGCATGAAGTACATATGTATGAACGAAACTGAATGTAGAGAGAAATGAGAGGGTACCGATATTTCATTAGAAATGATTAAGTAGTTAACTAAGTAAAAATTTTTATTGAAATTTTTAGTCGGTCGATGGTTGGAATGTGTGAGGAAGGTTTTTTTAGACAAAATAAGTGTATTTCGCTAAGAAACTGAACCAAAGCATGACTCCTGAACAAAAATCTGAAAATGTTTAGTACAAGTCTTGTACTTTTCTTAAGTATTATGTCAGCTACAACGTATATAAGTATATATATATATATATATATATATATATATATATATATATATATATATATATATATATATATATATATATATATATATATATATATATATATATATAAGTATAATGTGGCATAAATGGTTAACAGATTAATGAACTAAGAGTAAAGTGGTTGAAAGAATGAACTAATTTACTAGTCTGAGGGAGTTACTACAGTCGTAAAGAGCTGTCAACAAATTTTTTCAACAAACATAAATGACTTGTTCGATATTCGTCAAACCTCATGACATACAAATGCTGAACTTGCAGAAAGGGAATCACTGCGTAAATTACACTGACACTGTGTGTTAACGGGAGTTAAATAAAACTTCTATATCCACAGCAAGTTACCTGATTTCCAACTAACCGAGACACATGCAAATGTTCTCAGGCAGCAAAAAAAATCGACACCGAAAACTACACTACTTTCTGTTGTTAAACATTCCAAACATTTGGTCGCTATCAAGTTTGCATGTCTAATATCAGCTAAATGCCTAGTAGCAAAATGCCTAAAACAGAAATTGTAGGTTGCCCGGAAGAACGGGAAATGTCTTGGGTCACGCATTCTGAAAATGTCGGTCGAAGTATCTGAAATCAGTCAATGATATAATTAAGTTATATTAACACTGAAAGGCCATTAAAGAATAGATATGGTCATATGGTTATACTTAGGGCTCTAGTAAGGTGATGTAATAGATTTTCTCAGACGGATGCTGCTGGGATATACGATGAACATCAATAAAGATACATGAACGAAGTAGTTATTTTTCACGTTCACAACTAATGACACAATTATTCAACTATTTTCACCCATTTATTTTCGCCTAATGTCGCCTTAATTTCGCTTTATGTATAAATAAAATTTGTTTTACATAATTTGCTATATAGAATAAATGAATGCAACTTATTTACCAAGTACGGGTTTGAGTACTCAGATCTCAAATACTATTGATTTCAAATGTAAGTTGTTATAATCTCTTTCTTACGGTTATGACCCCAGCTATTCCTATTGCTTAGTATTCTCGGACACCGATTCACTCGACAAGTCCCCAAATCAGAACACGGTTGAACAGGAAAGAGATTATATTTCAAATAACAAGGTTAAATGGAAGATGCAAGTAAGAAGCACAATAGAGAAAACGTTAGTATATTTATAGTTTTTTCATGAGAAGATTCTAGAGTATTCTCCAACTATCGACCAGTGCTGATTGGTTAAGAATTAGCCAATCAGCGTGCACCAGAGCAATCGTGCATTGAGCATGCTTTAATCCAGTTTATGTCCCGCTAACATAAGTTTTAATTCATTTTTATTGACAGAACCAAATAAGAACGAAGGCTTAAAGCCCTATCATGTTTACTATCTGGTAAATTATTTCTATATACAACTACAGGATATATGTTAAGATCTAAATACCACAGTGGTAACTTCCTGATTAGGAGAGAAATCCTAAAGCATGGCTACCTTTGCGACTGTAGGTAAACTCACGAATACCAACGAAAAAATTCTTTCGCTCTCTTCCCTAAACAATAAACACTATGTAAAGCCCTACCAAAACATTTGCAGTTGGTATGAGATATCTGTTTATTTTCACTTTAATCTCGCATAGTGTGCCACTAATATATGAACTAACTACAACATGACGAGATTAGTGAAGGAGAATTCATAATGATCTAGATCTATCCCACTAGTGCTTTGGTTATGGGTGTTTACAAATTTACAGCAACCATGAAAAAGATATTTTGTGTTCCTAAAACTCGTCGTTTCAGATTAGATATACCGAAATTTGTGCAGTCAGGTATTATCGTTACAAGTCACACAATATGTACGGTTCACACCTAAATACATTTACATGTGGTTGGTTTTACTTGACAAGTGAAGTTAGATCAATAGAAAAACCATAGGAAAAATGGGATGCTTACCTTTATGCTATATGGAACACAGGAATTTACAAATGGCTTAGACAAATTTGTAAACCTTGTCGGTGCATTACCAAATCCAGATGAATTATGAAGGCCATTTGAGATAGCTACATCTTGTGCACGTGTTTGAACTTGATGATCACTTATATGATTACTTACGAAACAAAAATTGTTTTGAAATGAATTAGCTGTTTCTGGAAATTTGCAAGTTTCGTGTTTGTTTTTTGAACTAGAAAAAGAAGGATAACTCAGTTTTTCTGAATTTACAGAGTGAGTATTCGAAGAGTTGGTGACAGATGAACCTTCACTATGATTACTTATTATATCCTTGGTTGTCGAATGATAAGGTTGTGGTTGACAGGAACTAGAAATAGAGTCATGCATTAAAATTTCCCTAAGTTCTTCAAGTTCATTTATTGTTTTAAGTTCAGTCATCGTGAATGGGTCGTCAGGTTGGATATCAAAATCTTTTAAGTATGTGCAAATTGTGGAACTAGTAGAAGAGCCTGGTTTCATATAAATTAACTCTGAACTAGAACATTCAGGGTTATTATCCGAAACCTTCATCTGTTCTGATTTACATAATTGGCTAGAAGCTCCACTATCTATTATGCTAGGTTCTAAAACTTTCCCGGAAACAAGATGACTAGCAGCAGGTGGAGGTGTTCCGATAACTGAAGCTGGACACGAATTATTTGAAGAACGTGACTGAGGATCAGAGAAATGAAAACTGCGTGGTAATTCAATGCCCTTTTCATTGCTTTCCTGTAATGGATTAGATTGATCTGGTGGAATTCCATACACTGATGTGGACAGTGTTTCATCCAAATTTTTCTTTGCGTTGAAATACTCATCATAATCAGCAATAACTTGCTTTTCGTGTAAAAAGTCATACTACAAGTAAAATGCAACAAAAACGTTAGGATACAATTAAAAAATCAGGTCAAAAATAACATTAGGTGTTAATCACAAAATAATGCAATTACACAAATCTAGACAAGAAAAGATAGAATTTGAAGAATTATATATTACGACCTACTTGGTTTCACTAGTCTTTAGATAATTAACTGATCTAAAATAACAAATATGAGCGACTTCCTTACATGACATGATTTTAAAAAGAATGATTATCGATAAAAAAATATTTGATTGGTCGAGCCGCAGTAAAAGGAAAGAGTTCCACGCTGACTATTCGAAGGTTGAATAAATTAGCTGGCGAGACAGAACCAAAACTCCATCAATTCGAATTTTACTGGATTTCGGTAGACAACGAGAGCTTCCAATACATTGTTACAACAACTGTTCCTTTTAGAATGAGTACTGGTTGCTTGTAGACCATATCAATTTGGTTTTTGATTAGGTTAGGGTTTTATGATCCCTGTTAACGTAAAAATGAACTGAGGAAGTTAGCCCATAATGACCTGAATAGTCCTGATACACATAATTGATGATGAACTAAAAAATTCAAATATATTAAGGCGTTCCGATGAAAAGACAAAAAGCTACTACAGGCGGTTACTGGAACGCGAGTAAAAACGTAAGAGCATCTACAGTTTGCATTCTTCTGGTTGGAAATAGTTGTCTTTCAATTGCCTAAACAAATATTCCCGGACGATACTGAGTAACTCTAACAGTAAAGCTGGTTGACTCGATCAGTAAAAAAGATAGAACTTGGCTGATTGAAGCGAATAACATAGAATATTAGTTGAAGATCTCGCGTAAAAGGTCCGAAATTGACCATCTGGATGGATGCATTCATGCTATTCGCCTTATAACACCCCATTACATCGTGCTTGTTTTTCGTCACGTCCTCACTAGTATGATGATTTTCCTCTTGGTTTCTTCTTATCGTACAGCTAGATGTTTGCAAGCTGGAGTTAACGTGAAGTTGCTGAACTCCTTTTGATCTCATTAAAAGTCAGCTACTCAATTTTAACCAAATATCCCGTCAACATAAATCTGAAAACCGAGTCGGAAAGTAGCCCCTAAATGCCCTAGTACGGTCGAGAGTGGGGAGAGTCCGCTTACCCTCTCGAAATGCTCTCACATGGCCACGCATATATAGCCTTTGCCACGGAAGTCGTACTCACTGCCTTCTCGTAGCGGGGATGTTGTTTACGAAATTGAGAGGACGAAAAGCGAATATCCGGCGCCTTAACCGAGTTGGTGGATATGGAGAGTTCACCTAGGGGAGTTGGAAAACCCTGATTCCAAACCAATGGTGCACATGGGCTCCAGTATCCTGAGTGAACAAATGGCGTATGAACCAATCGTTGATCACCGGCTTCCATGGGACTGCATCTCCTTACGATCCCCCACTGCCTTGTGGATCAGACCTGTAGGTCGAAGGCTCCGGGTTTGGCCCCCTAAGAAAACCACCTGCTTCGGTTTAGGCACCCGGGCAGTATCAAAGCCCTCGCACAAATCAAATGAGATTTGTGTGGCGCATATGTATTCGATGCCTTCTTGTACCAATATCTATGTGTCCAAATAAATAATAAATAATAAAAATATGAAGCAAAATCCCTCAAAATCGGCCAGTCAGTCAGCTACAACGTAGGACCAGGCACATATATGCATCGGTCTAAGTTGCCACACCTCATTAGCACAAAAAGATGAACACCAAATTCATAGTAGTTACTTCAATGGCAGCAATATATAAAAGAAAGATTGCATATGAGGATATAGTACAGGAAGAAAGAATTAGTTGGTAAAAAGAAAAATATAAAGCAATTTTAATCTCATAGTTTAAGGCAAGACAGAGAGTGTATACACCGACGTCATTGTGATCGATTCTGTGCCATGTCACCCAGAGTCTCCAACCATTGGTTACGATAGTTACACGGACCCCAATCAAGTAGTCTTCATCTACCAACATTGCTCAGACCAGAAGTTAGTGACTTCAAGCACTGATGCCAAGGTTTGGTTTGGCTGCCCCTAACTTTCTTTCAACCGTCCCTAACACTAGTCACCATTGCACGCCGTGGTAATCGGTGTCCAGGCACATGTAACACGTGGCCCAACCATCTCAGTCGATGAAGATTCACAACCTTATCAACTGATTTACCATCATTCTCTAATACCCTGCATCTAACTTTGCGATTACTTACGAGATGCTGGTAATATTTATGAGAAATCTGTGATCAAATACAAATAACTTACGAGTATTCCCTACTCTTAATGGCCACGTTTCGGAGTCGTATTTTTTATTTTATTTTAACACAAGAAAGCACCAAATACATATGCGCCACACAAATCTTATTCGATATGTGCGAGGGCTGTGATACTGCCCGGGTGCCCAAACCGAAGCAGGTGGTTTTCTTAGGGGGCCACTCCCCGAGCCTTTGACCTAGAGGTCTGACCCACAAGACAGTGGAGCATCGTAAGGAGATGCAGTCCCATGGTATCCGGTGACCAACGATTGGTTCATACGCCATTTGTTCCCGCAGGATACTGGAGCCCATGTGCACCATCAGTTTGGGATCCGGTTAAAGCGCCGGACATTCGCTTTTCGTCCTCTCATTTTTGTAAATAACACGGAGTCGTAAAGTAGGACAGAACAAACTGCTACATAGTACACCCATCATTTAGTTGATAGACGTATTCCTTGCCATCGCCATAGGTGGTAGTACAGTGATCTTGAGTGCTGTTAGAGGTATAAGGGCACTCATCACTTCCCGGTTGCCCACACCGTTGAAGTTATTGTAGGGGTACCTGAGAACGAAATCGGGTTAGGGGTGGTCTTAGTGACCTGAGAGCGTGACCGCAGTGCCCAAGAGACAAGTGCTAGAGATCGGTCACACACGACCATTTTGTAACTTTCGTGTTAGATTCGTACTTGTTGGGACCTTACGGTCGGAGACGGATATCCGTGGGATAAGGCGAGGTGTGCATTCTCAGTGTCGATCTTTTCGAACCCCGCCCTTTCTTGTTGGAAGGCAGCATTGATGTTATGCTGGTTGCCTGAAGGAAACACCTTGACGCCGTCATAGCTCTATACAATCAGCAGTACGACTCTGTTCTCGAACATTGGGTTTGCTACTTTTAATTTTACCGCTCTTAAATCGATCTGTCTGGCGTGGTAGGACTTTGAGGAACGATTGATCCAGACAGCATAGCTCGATTGGTTCATTACGATAGGCAAGCCCGACCACCACATCAAGGTAGCAGCAACGGTCGGGATCGCCATAAGTGACGTAAGATGGCAAAAGCCAAATGAGTTTTTTGAATCCGTGAAGAGACTTCGTCAAGCACCAACTGAATAAGGCTGATCGGACTTCCAAGTTAAGTTAAGTTGTTGACACGTTCAACTACATTACTCCCTATCTTTAGTTTAGGTGTTGATGCAGGCCAGTCCTGAAGCAATAATTTGCATTTAGAAGGGGAAAAGCGCATTCTAAACACCCTCTCACTGTTGCTGAGTGCTATCAAAAGACCCTGCATTTTATCAGCGTTTTCACCATGCAGGACTATGTCATCTGTGTATTCCAAGTCGATAGGTGTACCCCCTGGAAAGAGATCAATTCCTGAAAATCAGTCGAGAACATTATAAATTGACCAGTGGTGTAAAAGCATTTATTCTTGTCACCCAACATATTTAGAGGAATTGCCAACAAGTTACAGATGTTTTGCAAAATATCTGTAATCCCATTTGCACGAATATTGCAGGTTATGCCCAGGAAACATGAGACAATGTAACAAAGTCATTGATAACGACTAGTCAGAAATAAAGCAATGTCTAAGATAGATCTTTTCTCTTTTTTAGTCAAATCGTAATTTGGTAAATAAGGAACGAACTGAGCGAAGAAATTTCTTTTCAATTAGTTTTTCATCATGACTCTACACTAATATATATATGATTTACAATAATGATATAGTACTCATCGAGTGGATACGTTATATAATAATTACATAATGGCATTTAAATTAACATTGAGTAATTGGAAGAAAGATTATTATTAATATTCAAAGTAATTATTAAATCAAGAAGTTGCTACGTTGCGTAATGTATGAAAAAGAGAAGGAACAGAATTTTTAATGGATGGTCAATAGAATAGTAGTTACGTAAGAATCAAGTGATGAATGTTGAGAAGTTATAAAGTTCAAAAGCAAGAGAAACAAAAAAATAACAAAAATTTAAAAAAAGCAAGCGGAAGAAGTATGAAAAATAGTTCTTATGAAGGAAATCTTATAGTGATGGCCAGGGCAGAGAAATTGGTTGTACGAATCTCTTTTGAATGCAAAGGTCAGGTTTGTGAACATGGATTGCGATGGCTTCCGCAATGCGCATAAGGCGCACTCGTAAACCATGTGACAAATTTGATGGTATATTGTAGATAACCTTAAAAGCTTTATTGGAATTGGAGCTTTTCCAAGAAGCGAGTTCCAACAGAAGTATTCGACTATACATAGATATTTGTCTCAATTTGTGGTGAAGTGACGAGATAAACCAGTATACTACAGAGCAGACTTATTAGACAAGGATGCTACTGAAGTTGAAACAGAGATTTAGAATGTGAAAGTTATCGGTAGACTGAAAGACACGTTTTTCGACTGAGTCTTTTGGGATAAGGATACACAAGTCTTAGTGCGTCTATGCCTAATTCTGCTTTTAAAATTTTCAAGCCGAATGAATAAAACTGAAAGCTAAAACCAATTGGTGGGACTCCTTAACGTTTTCCAAATAACAATATACATAAAGACTATATACTAAAATAATAACAGCTGAATGGACAGTCGAAAATAAAGTTATAGCTATATAGCTAGCGTTTTCACCATTACGTATCAAAACAGAAGTCATTGAGGAGTGAAGTTTTAAGAAGCTCTTCCAGATTGTGTACAAAGTAAGCAAGTGAAACAACAGTCATTTCAAGAGAACAGAAACAAAAGCAATACCTCAAAAGCCGATGACGAAATTTCATTTAAAGTTGGCAGGTTAGTGATGGTGGGAACTTTTACTTTGCACCGAAACTCAACCCCAGAAACCATTCTGGAACTCCAGGTGTCAAAGTTACCTCTACTTTCTTTGTCCATCAACAGAGACCCTCATTGTTCACATCGGAAGCATTCTAGTATCATTAAACCGCTATCCATTAGCTGCGGCGCTTTTACTTAAGGTTAGCATTCAACTCCCAATTGTTGTTAAAAATTTATTTATGATCAGAATTGGCTTCGTGGAGATTGCAGTAATTTTATTAGCTACATTTATGAGTCTATGTAAACTGTACCATCATATTAGTATAAAACGACCGTCCACTGATTCCAGGTTTTCAATGGTGGTCTACCTTACATCGACTCATTCATTCAAGTATTAAAATCGTAGTAGGGTTTCAAAATATTAATAACAATCTATATCTAGGGTTTGAAAAAAGCTCAAATGGTCGTGGACGGAGTAAAAGAAACCATCGCTTAACGGGCTTCCGTGTCCAGTAGCAATGGATTGCCAATACCTCCAGGTAGGAACCTAGGTATATTAGGGATTAAAGATACGATAGTGTTCATTTTTGCCTAACTTCAAAACGCTTGGAAAATGAAGCGATCACGGCGGCGAAATACTCAACGAATGTATTTTTTCAAATATTCAACGTTGACGCGGACAATATTATGTCACTAGGAACCAACTATTTGAGTGTGAATCAGTTCCACTCTTCCTTACAACCTTATCTTTAAATTTTTACTTTTTCTCTGAGTTAATTGGTCAGAAGCTACTCTGAAACCAATATTCCCTGTTCTGACGTATCCGAGTTATCCTCACTTAGAGGTAAATAAATACTTGGAACAAATAGTTTCGTAAGTCTTCAGAATTGGTCGTGACCTCGTTAGTTTTTCTGAAGTCGCTTGGTCAAACATCCTCACAAAATCACATTTGGAGAAGCCGAGCTGACCATCTTTTCAAAGTGCTCGGCTTACACTTTATATAGTTCAACACATTGAGCATTTCTGTGCACGTCGCATCCCCTCATTATTAACTTTTTGTTTAACTGGCTTTGGGATCCTCGTATAAATGGGCGCTTCGGACGACAGCGTTACCGAGCTTTGTATATCCATGACATTAGTTTGTGTGATTTGTCTAGCAAGGTGAATCATCACAATGGCTCATATTTGGTAGCGAAACAAGAATTTTACATCCTGTCGAATGAATAATACAACAAATCCATTCCATGTTAGCCCTCTTCTAGTATGCTCCTGCATGCGTCTAGTTCTCTCTTAAACGACTAGTTGAAACCGGGAATCCATGAGCATGTTCTTGTCCTGTAGTTAATGTATGAGAACAGTGGCTTCATCTGCCTGCTTAGAGGTTATGACAGTTGGTTTTCATAGTTCCACCGAGATACATAAGTTGTGTGTATACACTTACTCAGGATGAACTTGTGACATTCCATCTCACTCTCTGTTCCTAGGATGATGGCAAATTTCCCTAAGTTTCTCATTTGCCATGGTAAACGTAGGATCTCTTGCTTTATCCAGGAACAGTCGTGTCTTTTTCTCCTCAATACTGTTCATGGTATAAACGACTAGGTTACCAACTTTCCCGACTGCTGGAGGTTACTACATGCCTCTTCCACAGATTAATCTGAGGTTGCTTTCACAATCTATGGGTAAGGTTGTAGTGGCGTTGGGCCATAACCACACAGTCCTTAAAGCTAAACGCGAGACAAGTGGGAAAATATATGTTCAATATTTAACGCGGCGAAAAACCCAACGATGGAGAAAGCGGGAAGAATGAATCGAGCGAATTAATTATTTGGGTAGCATGGCTCAGCCTCTCAGGCATGGTCGCTCTGTATAACTTACTTTTACACATATTAAATATATTGTTCAATCTCCAGTCTGAATTTGTTCTCCATCATAAATTGGTAATTGTTACGATACGATGATTCACAGTGGACAATGATGTGACTTCCACGTAAGACAGTCACATCATGAAAGATCTGCAACTTTAAGATCAGGTCTATTATTAGAGCAGTACTAACAACGAAAGAGACTATGATTCTACAATGGCTGAACGTTTTTTAATCACACTTCCACCCTCCATGCCTTAATGAACCAGAGTGTTTGACTGAAAGATCATATTAACAGTGAATTAAATAAAGTGACTGTATGGCCAGTTAACTCTGTTATTTTTAAGTTTTTGCTCGTCCCTGTACGGCATATCAATGTATTTTCAACTTACGGACCCAAATCAACAATAGAACCAAACTCCAATTTCGGTACCAAGGTTTATTCACAATTTACAAATAGTCGACTTAAATGTCGTTCTTCAATTTTGTAGGTTCCCGGGGCGAAAACTTCCAAATACCAAATCAAATACAAACCAAAATGTCCGAAAATAGTGATATAAACAAACAAGTTCAAAAGTTCAGTTAAACAAATACATCCAAGAGAACAGTGAAATTAAGGATATTTAATATAAAGGTTTTATTCAGCCAAATGTCTTCAGTTCTCCCATAACATAATGTAAAAGTGAAAAGTAACTTTAATAGCTAATATCATGACTACGAATTAAAAATAAGGCCAGAACACACATCCAGTTTTATTTGACGGGGTTCATAATATTCTAGGTCGTAGGTAGTGGGGGTGCTGTGGTTCACAAAAATATGAAAGCGAAAGATGTTTCCAAGTTAGTCCAGTTTTTAGACGGTGTACTGAAGCTATCCACTATCGGGTTGCTGAGCCTACTCGACTATGACTGCTGTTTGGTTAAGTAAAACTCACTGAACTTTTTTAGAGGTCACTCCTGGTAAGATCTTGGATTCTCTTCTTTAAGCTTTACTCTGCTGACAGGTTGAACAACCACTATGTGGTTTTAAAATGTGACGCAATTATTTATTTTAAAGATAGCCACTTTCAAACAGTTATTGTTGATGCTGTGCTTGTCGGCCTAGTCTTAAATGTAGAGTAGATAGATCGATTTTGTGTTCTGAAATAATATCCGCAGACCCACACTATTTGGAGTTCCTAGTACTTCGTTCAACTCCGGCTGGAGTCCCTCTGGAGGCAACTGCCGGTCATAGGCCCGGATAAAGGAGGAGGGTTGGGCATGGGGTTAGCGTCCCCATCCCGTAGAAAACTAACTCGCCAAAAAAACGCTAACCAGAAAAAAATATTCACACCTTTCAAACTTTGCCTTGTGTTGGGATATTCAGAAAAATATCCCAAAAATTATTCTGTTAAGCCTAATGCTATCCTTGGATATGAAATGGTATCATCCCATTGGTCAATATTCATTTAACGTGTCATTTTCCTACTGGTCAATATTGTGCAATGTTATTTTCCATTTTATGGTACGATGTGGTCTGCTTGATTACTATATAAACAGAGTGTTTGAAATATAGTGATTCATATCTCTGACGCTGAGACTTGTGTTCGGGACTTAATTGGCTGGGCAACACAGGGAGGCGGGACCAATCAGAACCCTAGGCCGTTATACGTGTTTGCGCGTCTTTGGTCCGATCAATAATTCGCTACCCTCCAATCTACCGTCACATTTTTAGCACTCTGGGAGTCGGAAGGTCTTCGTTTAGAAGAACTATGGCGCCTCATGATGAAAGCCGAATTCCTTCCGAAGTCACGAGGCCGATGTCCCTTCTGACAACCAGAGCAACCATTTATTTAGGTACATGGAATGTTCGTATAATATGGGATACCGGAAGAGCCTTCCAAATTGCTGCAGAAATGAGAAGATACAACCTAGAGGTACTTGGGATCAGTGAAACACATTGGACACAAGTTGGACAACAACGACTAACTACAGGAGAGCTCCTGTTATACTCCGGCCATGAAGAAGAAAATGCACCACATACACAAGGAGTTGCATTGATGCTGTCCAAACAAGCGCAAAATGCACTTATAGGATGGGAATCTCATGGACCAAGGATCATCAAAACCTCCTTCAAAACAAAGAAAAAGGGCATTTCAATGAACATCATCCAATGCTATGCGCCTACCAACGACTACAATGAAGACGCTAAAGATCAATTCTACAATAGGCTGCAGTCAATCATCGAGAAGTGCCCAACAAAGGACCTGACCATTCTGATGGGAGATTTCAACGCCAAGGTTGGAACGGACAACACTGGATATGAAGACATCATGGGACGACATGGACTGACTGGGAGAAAGAAACGAAAATGGTGAGAGATTTGCAAATCTATGTGCCTTCAATAAGCTGGTCATAGGCGGCACCGTATTCCCACATAAACGCATACACAAAACCACATGGACTTCACCGGATCACTCTACACAAAACCAAATCGACCATATTTGCATCAACAAAACGTTCAGGAGGACTATAGAGGACGTGAGAACCAAGAGAGGAGCTGATATAGCATCAGATCATCACTTGCTGGTCGCCAAGATGAAATCGAAACTCAAGAAGTACTGGACAACGGGGCAGACAGTATCACAAAAGTTCAATACGGCCTTTCTTCAGGATACTAACAAACTCAACAAATTCAAGATAGTCCTCAGCAACAAGTTCCAGGCCTTTCATGATCTACTCAATGGAGAAGGAACTACTGTGTAGAGCAACTGGAAGGGGATCAAAGAGGCAATCACTTCAACATGTCATGAGGTCCTGGGTCACAAGAAGCACCACCACAAGGAATGGATCACTGTTGATACACTGGATAAGATTCAAGAAAGAAGAAACAAGAAGGCAGCGATCAATACCAGCCGAACAAGAGCAGAAAAAGCTAAGGCACAAGCTGAATACACGGAAATAAACAAACAAGTGAAGAGGAGCATCAGAACCGACAAACGTAAATATGTGGAAGATTTAGCAACGACGGCGGAAAAGCTGTAAGAGAAGGAAACATGAGACAATTGTATGACACGACAAAGAAGCTCTCTGGAAATCGCCGCAGACCAGAACGACTAGTGAAAAGCGAGGAAGGCGAGGTAATCACCAGCAGTGAAGAGCAACGAAAGAGGTGGGTAGAACACTTCAAAGAACTCTTGAGTCGACCAGCTCCACTGGACCAACCCAACATTGGAGCAGCACCCACGGACCTCCCAGTCGATATTGGCCCACCAACAATTGAAGAAATCAGCATGGCCACCAGGCAAATCAAGAGTGGCAAAGCAGCAGGACCAGACAACATTCCAGTAGAGG